CTCGTAGACCATGGCCAGGCTGACGAACAGGCCGAGCCAGCAGCCCGCCACGCTGGCCAGCAGGGCGCAGGCCACCGCCGCCGCGTGGTGGAGGAGGAGGACGCCGGAGGTGTCCGCCCAGTTCGCCAGCGCGTCCGACAGGAAGTACGCCACGCTGAATGCCAGGTACCTCCCCAGACACGCTCGCGACAACAACAAGACGGGAAATGTTGGGCCGACTTTTCGGCCTCCGAAGCCCTCGCGGGGCCTTGGGGGCAGACGAAGAACGACTCTGGATGCGAAGCCGGTCCCAAGGAATGGGTTGGGACTTCCAGGGACCCTGCACTGAAAAAATCACGACGTCGACCCCAAGAAGGTCTGGACGCATTCCCCGGGACCCGCAGTTCATCCCAGGCTGCTTCTGGACGGTCCCGAGGCCCAGTGAGGGCCCCCAGAGGCCGAAAGCGGTCCAAAGACCTCCGACGAGAGGAGGTCGGAAAATAACATCGAGCGGCACTTACCATACACTTGCAGACCTCCGCGCGAATGTCTCCGATCGGCGCCGGACCCCCATCCCTGGCGCGCGGAGTGTGTCAGGGCGGCGCAGGAGGCACCGCCAGGGGGGCCCAGCGCCGCTCTCCAAGAGATCTCTGCGCGAAGCTCCGAAAGTTCACGTGAAAGTCTATGTTTATGCAATGCTTGTCTTCTTCGGCTAAAGGCCTCCCAAATGTGGTCCGAGTATACGGGGTGGGAAGATCGCGCCGCATCGGCGACGTCGGCAACGCATCGGCGCCGACGGCGTGGAGAAAAACGGGCTCCGCATCGAGCCGCATCGCCGATACATCGACGATGTGGCGCGATCCCCCGACCCAACCGACGGACGGTAACGTTTGCGAAGCATGGCGCCAAGGCGGCCCCGGCGACACGCAGTGCATTGCGAGTGCATAGCGTGCCGCTCCTCTCCGCGGGGCGGGAGGCTGGGAAAACTCGAGACGTCGACACCCGGGGGCCTGCTCCCGACCGCACCGGGGGAGGAGGAGGGGAGGAGGAGGAGGAGGAGGAGGAGGAGGAGGAGGAGGAGGAGGAGGGGAGGAGGAGGAGGATGAGGAGGAGGAGGAGGGAGGAGAGGAGGAGGAGGAGAGGAGGAGGAAGGAGAGAAAGGAAAAGGAGGAGGAAAAGGAAAAGGAGGAGGAGGAGGATGAGGAGGGGGAGGAGGGGGAGGAGGAAGAGGAGGCCATGGCCGGCGGAGGGCCAGGTACTCCCCGGCGGCGCACTGGGGCTGCGCGCCGAACCACCAGGGGGCGCCCCGGTCGCGGCCCGCCCAGGCGAAGCCCCAGCACAGCGGCAGGACCACGGCCTTGAAGAGACCCACAAACACACAAATAAATACACACAAATAAAACTATTCCCCATATTCTCCCATATTTTCTGAGTTTCTGTCTTCCCCACCACTTCCCATATTTTCCCATATTTTCCTGGGGGTCGACGATTAATTGTGTCTGTGTGTTTCTTCCCCTCCTGAGGCCTGCCCGACGACGGCCGCGAAGTACTGGTACACGACCTCCGCCCGGGCAGGGCAGGGCGAGCGAGAGCGCGGCGCGCGCGGGCTTGGCGGATGGGGGCCCTCGAGGAGCGGGTGATGCTGCGAGCGGCCCATCGCGGGTCCTGCTCCAGCCAGATGGGCGACAGGCGAAACGGATCTTGCGCGAGATGGCATGGCGACCTCACGCGACGGCTTGCGCGGGGCGCCAGCGCGGCACGCATTCGAAACGGGGGCGCTTACGCGCGGCCTTACGCGGGAAGCTTACGCGCCAATGCCGGCGCAGACGACCCCAGTGTTTCCATCGCTCAGATGAAAGGGGTGCCTGATCACGCTTCACGACCCTCAGCAGGAGGAAAAAGGGTAACGCAGGGAAAAGGGTGACAAACAAGGACTCGGGACGAGCCGTCCAGCCCAGAAGGGGGGGGGAGCAGGACGGAGGGAGGGCGAGAGAGGGGGGGGCCCTGCCATGGGCCCTCTTCCCTGACATCCGCCGATGGGGGGGGGGTGAAATCCGCGGCCCCGGAAACCCCGACCGCTTCCCTGGGGGTGGACTCTTTTGCCCAGATCCATGCTTCACGGCCACAGGGCCGGATCACGGGCCCCGGAGGCGGGAATCGAGGAAGAGCGCCGGGCTCGGAACAGCCACCTCGTCGTCGCCTTGGGGGCTCTCCCCGGCGCGCGGCCTGGTTGAAGTAGCCCCCCGCGACGCGGCAGCTGAGGGCTCCCTTGGGGTGCCTGCGCACGTAGGCGCGGATCGCCAGGTTGTAGGCGCCCAGGACGACGAGCCAGCCGCACCCGTCGCGCGCCACCTGCCAGGGCAGCGGCGACACGCCGCCGGCCCCGGCGGCCATGGCCTCTGCACGGGGTGCCCCGGGGCCGGCCTTGAGCCAGAAGGGCTGCGGAGGCCAGAGGAGCGGCAGCGGTGGGCACTGGCCTCCAACGGGAAGCCCGCCAGAAGAGGAGGGGGCAACGGCAAGGGTGGGCCTGTCTTCTAGTCGAGCCGGCGCAACAGAGCAGAAAAAGAAGGGTGCACGAAACTCTGCACTCGCGGATTCGGTGTGGGGGAGATTGTCGTGTGAACCCGTGCCGTTCTGCCCCCTCTCCCGAACGTTTGGAGATGGGGCGCGCATTTGCGCCCCCTGGTGTCGCTTACGGGGAATACAGTACAGAGTCTGCGCCAGAAAACGGGGGGCGAACCCACCAGACGTCGCCTCTAGTGAAGGCGTCGTCTGGTGGAGGCCCCCTACTACTGTCAGTTAGCGGAGGCCCTCAACTAACATATTTGGCGAAGGCGGAGTATTGGCGAAGTCGATGTATGTGGACCAGGGGAAGGGGAGGAGGAGGGGAGGACGAGAGTGGGGAAAGACAAGCTAAGTGCGCAAGCGTCATATCTGAAGTCCTCCCTCTCCCTCCCATCCCTCACCATTGCGTAGATCTTCTCTCGATTCGCACAGTCGGATGTCGAACAGGGTACTGATCCCGAGAGAGAGAGAGAGAGAGAGAGCGAGATTCTTGGTATAGCACGGCATAGCATGGCATTGAAGAGTACGGCCACAGCCGACGTCGTCGCGTCAAGAACGCGACTCATTTCGACAAAAGGGTCAGCGGTAAATCAGAAATGACACAGGCCGGGAAATGCAAATGGACGGTTTGGAAAGCGGGAAGCGCAAAAAGAGATCAGCGCTGCAGCGGGAGCACGATTTCGAAGGACCGAAACTGCGGAAATGAGACCAGCGCTGCAATTGGACCACGATTTTGGAAGGACTGGAAGCGCGGAACCGAAGCCAACGCTACAGCAGGAACGCGATTTGGAAGAACCGAAACAATGAAATGAGGTCAGCGATGCAGCGGGCACATGATCTGGAAGGACTAAAAATAAGGAAATCGAGCCAACGCTGCAGGGGGAGCGCCATTCTGAAAGGACTGAAAGCTGTCGGACTGGAGAAAGCACATAACACTGGTCAACTCTGCGGCATACTCTGCTAACGAACACGCGGAGGAGACCAGGACACCTCGCCGACCGGCGTCTTCGGAGGACAAGGAAGAGTCGCATGCATAATATGTAATTGTGGAGGGGGGGAGCAGGTGGGACCCAAGGCCCCGATATACACACGTCGTTCATTTCTAATCGTGCTCATTTCTAATTGTGCTCGTTTCTAATGGTTCATGGCCCCCTGGTGGCCAGGAAGAGGCCCAGGATAGAACAATTAGAAATGAAAGGATCTGGGCCCCCCGAACAATCAAAGAACATCTGAACACTTAGAAATGAACCATGTGTACTCTCTCTCTCTCACACACACACACCTGAACAACCACAGGCCGCTGCCTGGAGCGATTGGACAGCAGGGACCTCCGAGCACCCGGGGCCTCGGTGCGGTGAGATCTCGCAGGGTCTGCCGAGGACCCCCCCTCCCCTCACTGGGGGAGGGGCAGAAGATGGAAGCCGGAGCACAGGCTGCAGCGCGGCGGGGGAACTGATGGGCCTGTTTTCCACCTCCACCACCATAGGTTGGAGGGGGAGGGGGTCCTCCTCCTCCTCCTCCTCCTCCTCGTCCTCAACCTCCTTCCCCCCTCCAACTTATAGTGGTGGTGGTGGAAAACAAGCCCATCAGGAACTTCTCCTCAACCCCTGGGACCCCCGTGCCAAGCCCCCCCCCCACCCACCCACCCAGCTGGCTCCCCCTCCCCCCCCCCTTCTGGGGCTGGGCGCCGCTTCGCGGGGGGGGGGAGAAAGGTGCACTTCTCGGGCCCTCAAGGCCCCCTTGGGGACCATAAAGGGGCCCCTGTGGGGGCCCTGAACGGCCCTTTTCTGCTGCCCCGGCTGCACCCACATTGATCGCCCCCCCATTGCGCGACGCCCAATGGGGGCGCTATTCTGGGTTTCTGTGGTTTGGGGTGGAGGAGGAGGAGGAGGAGGAGGAGGAGGAGGAGGAGGAGGAGGAGGAGGAGGAGGAGGAGGAGGAGGAGGAGGGGAGGGAGGAGGAGGAGGAGGAGGAGGAGGAGGAGGAGGAGGAGGAGGAGGAGGAAGAGGAAGGGGAGGAGGAGAGGAGGAGCAGGAGGAGGAGGAGGAGGGGTGGTCGCGGCTCCCTCCCCCGTCGATCCCCCTCCCCATGGGGCGCCTCGCCTCGTGGTCCTCCGCCGCCCCCGCTCTCGTTCCTCCCGTGCTCCGCCCACGACCTTCTTTGGTGAGCGCCCCCCCCTGGTGGCGAAGCGCCGCCGGAGAGGGGAGGGCAGCGTCGACCGTCGACCATGATGCCCGCAACGTGGGCGTGAGCGCGAGCGCGAGCACGAGCGCGAGCGAGAGCGCGAGTGTGAGATGAGGATCCAGGCATCTCCTGGGGTTCTCTGCGTCTCTCTTGCGCTCGTGCCAAAGGCCCGGTCGCCCCGGCCCAAGGCAAGGGCCGCAGCCCCACAGAGAGAACCAGAGGTCCGCTCCCCGAAGGTCCGAAGGAGGAGGAGGAGGAGGAGGAGGAGGAGGAGGAGGAGGAGGAGGAGGAGGAGGAGGAGCAACAAAAACTCTATAGACCCTATCCTCGAGGACCGAGGATGAGGAGGAAGAGCAAGCTGACGCCGCCGCGGCCGTCGCCGCCGCGGCGAGCCTGGGAGCGAGCTGCCGCCGCGGCCGCCGAAGCCACCGAAGGGCGGCCGACGGCGGCGGCGGCGGCGCGCCGACCACGACCACGACCACGACCACGACCACGACCACGACCACGACCACGGCCACGGCCACGACCACGACCACGACCGCGACCGCGACCGCGACCACGAAGACCACGCACGGCGGCGGCATCCGCGGCGGCAACAGGCCTCCGACGGCCACCGCGGCGGCGGCATCCCGACGGCGGCGGCACCCCGCGGCGGCGGCAACCCGACGGCGGAGGCACCCCGCGGCAGCCGTCGGTCCTTCGGCACCGCCGCGCCGCTCGGGGCCAGGGCCGGCGGGGGCGGCTTCGCCGGCGGGCGCGGAGGCGGCAGGGGCACCGCCTCGGGCGGTGGATGGCGCGCGGCGTCGCCGTCGTCGTCGGCGTAGTCGTCGCCGTCGTCGTCGTCGTCGTCGTCGTCGTCGTCGTCGTCGTGGTCGAGTCGTGGTCGTGGTCGTGGTCGTGATCGTGGTCGTCGGTCGGCGGCGGCGGAAGGTGGAGAGCCAGCAGGATCGGGTTCGTTGTGTGCCGCCTGGGGCGCGCTCGTGGCCACGGCTGCGAGGCGGGAATATGGTCAGATCCACCGCCTGGGACCCCAGCGGGCGGTGGATGCGGATATATTTCGGTCCCAAGGGGCCGAATATATCCACATCCTCCGCCTGCCAAGGTCACCGAAGATCGATCCCCTGAGCGGTGGTCATGGACAACTCCCCGCCTCGGAACGGCTGGATCCGCCCAGAGATCCTGGCCAGAACTCAAACAGGACAGGCCTGGGGGACGAACTTGAGGAGGCAACCCAGACAACCGCCGTCTCTGGAAAAAGCTGTCGGAATCCTGATGCCCACGTAGCGACAACATGTAAAAAGACGATTGGGTTAGGGGGGCGGGTGGGAGTGAGGAGGCCTCCTTCTTCTTCTGCTGCTGCTGCTCCTCCTCCTCCTCCTCCGCCGCCTCCCTGTCTCCCATCCCCCATCCCCATGCCCGTGCCCAATCCGCAGAGGTCCCCAGATGTCCCTGGAGGTTCCAGGAGGACTCCAGAGGTCTCCAGAGTCTCCAGCGGTCTCCGGATGCAGGCCTTCAGAGACCACAACCCTCTCAAAAACCTCGGCCCACCCTAGTCGATCCTAGATCGCCCCCTCTGATCAAAATGTCCTCGCCGACGACGCCCCTGCGGAGCGGGAAGCAGAGGGGCCGCATCCGCGCCCTGCGGCGCGTCGGCCGCCGCGGCGGCACCGTCTACGTGCTGCCCCACTCGCAGTCGGCAAGAGGAGGAGGAGGAGGAGGCGGAGGAGGAGGAGGAGGAGGAGGAGGAGGAGGAGGAGGAGGATCCCCCTGCAGAGGACAGAGAGCGCTCGGGCAGCAAAACCACAGTGCGCCACTCCCGACGCTTCCGACGCAGCGTCGAGGGGCGGGGCACTCTCGCCCCGCGGGAGCGGGCCTCGGGCACGGCGGCCCCTCGAAGCCCACAAGGGGCCTCCCACCCCCAACAAAGAGGCCCCGGCGCGCGCCTCGGAGCGCGCGCCGCGGGGGGGGGGCCCGCGGGGCAGCTCCCGAGGGGGCCGCTCCCGAGCGGCGAGAGCGGGGGGCCAGCAAGAGGGGCGGGGTGCGAACACGCGTCGGTCGACAGGGGGGTGCAGTCTCAACCTGTAGAGGACGGGACGGAGGACGCGAGACGAGGGTGCGGGGGTCTGGGGAGT